CCAGGAGAAGCAGGGTGGCCAATTAGGAATCAAGAAGTCTTGTTATTGATGGTTATGTTATGTGATTGATCAATTAGGCAATGAAGTAAAGATGGAATAAGCAGCTGTGATTCTGGAATTCAGAAAAGACTATATATAAAATTTGGGATGAACTATGTATAGACAGACCATCAAGTCATAGGCTAGTATAAAAAACATGCAGGTGTAGTGACAGAGTTAGGGATGTGGGAGATGTAGATGCCCATACACACACACACACACACACACATATACATATATATACATATATATATATATATATACACATATATATATTCTCTATACACACACACACATATTGGAGAACTGAGCCCCTCTGGGATGCTGCAATATTTGGCTGTGCAGAAGAACTACCACCAACAGAGAGGATCCCAGGAAGCTCCAGCAGAAGTACAGAGGAGGGCTGAGCTGAACTCCATCAGCTGAATCTAAGAAGGGATTATGATTCAAGAAGTGATGCCCAGTGATGTGAAATGTGGCTAACAGGTCACATACAAGGAGAACCAGGAAGTTCCATTTTGGCAATCGTTTTAGTGAAATGGTGGGGATCCTAAGCAAATTAGAGGAGACACAGCTCTTTTCTGATAGTTTTTCTAAAGAAAGGATGAAGAGCAGTAGCTAAAAGGGCACAGAGTTCAAAGAGGAGAATTTATTATGAAAATCAGCTTGTTTCAGGACACGGCACCTGCACAGGTGCTGACAAAGATCCTAACAATTTACTTCTGTGACCATAAAGTTTTGTAAAATTCCAAAACTAAAGCATTTTAACTGCAATAAACCAGTATTCTCCTTCCACTCTTTTGCTTTCAGTAACCACTCCACCTTCATTGGCTATTAGATACTTCTAGAATTTGACTAATAACTAAATTAGCAATGCATTGCCCTAATTCTGAATAAAAAATTGTTTTTAAGTATGACAAAATAGTTCTGAGTTGAGAATTACTTCATGTATTTTTCTATCCTTAAATCCTGAAGAACTTGAGTGAGAAAATATAATTATGTAAATCTAAACACTGGAAATAACCCAAGAATTCTGCGCTATGAACCAATGATGTTATTCCTGATTGTAGTCTTTGTGGGTTTTGTTTTAGTTTTTGTTGTTTGTCGGTCATGGGCTTGAAATCAGGGCCTGGAAGCTGTCCCTGGAAGCTTTTTTCACTCAAGTTGGTGCTCTGCCACTTTGTGCCACAGCTCTACTTCTGCTTTCCTGGTGGTTAACTGGAAAAGTCTCGTGGACTTTTCTGCCAGGGCTGGCCTTTGAACGAAGCTCCTCAGATCTCAGCCTCCCTAGCCAGGATGATAGGTGAGAGCCACCAATGCCCAGCGATCTCTGTGTGTCTTTTTAAGTTTTCGTTTTCAAAGAAATACATCATCAATAATGGGAAAAGTAAATTTATAAAATGACAAGCCTTTTCAAAAGAAATAAACCCGAGATAATAAGCACCCTTTCACATTGGATGCCACTATCAAACTCAAACTTCTTTATTAAACGTGTTCAAAATAGAATTGGTAAAGGTGTCATATTCCAATTACAATTATTCCATTTCCGGGAATAACTAGAGAGCCTTCATTCTGTTATTATTTTGAAACAGCCTCAAACGAGTATCTCTGCAGAATATGGTACCAAGTGACCTGTATCCTGTGTGTTTCCATCACCCAGCCCTTCCCTGGCCTAGTGTCCAAGTGCTCATCGGCCTCCTAGGTGAGTGGCACAGAAGGGCTATTCTGTGTCATGACTACGCACACAGCTTCTCTCTAGAGCCCGACGGGCACGTTCCTGGAACTCACTTGCTCCATTTGAAGGGCGGTTTCTCAGTATCCCCTTCTAAAACAGAGTTCTCACCCCCTCTCCATTAGGCCGGGGAGTGTGGCCCCAGCGCAGTGCCCAGGCCCGAGCCTAAAGGACCCCCAGCCAGCCCGGGGCCCAGCCGGGGCCACGCATTGCCAGTAAACCACCAGAAACGGCCGGGCGTGGGGCCGTGGCTGAGTGGTTCAGCGCCAGGCTCGAGCCCAGCGGCTCAGGGCAGTGCCCAGGCGCGGTTCCAGCCGGGACCGGCACCCGCCCATCTACCCTATATATATCCTAGATATCACATGTCACATATAACCGAGATACCACATATATCCTAGGGATCACATATATATCCTAGGGATCACATATGTCATGTGTAACCTAGATACCACACATATCCTAGGGATCACATATATCCTAGGGATCACATATTTATCCTATGTATCACATTTATCCTAGGTATCACATATGTCACATATAACCGAGATACCACATATATCCTAGGGATCACATATATCCTAGGGATCCTACGTACCTGTATATCATAGGTAACATAGATGTACATATTCAGTAGGAGAGGGTGAGCTGCACGGCTCAGGGGCTCATGGGAGGCCCTGGGGGGGCTCGTGGGGGACTCAGGAGGGGGGGTTCGTGGGAGGGGCTCGTGGGGGACTCAGGAGGGGGGGATCGTGGGAGGGGCTCGTGGGACTCAGGGGACTCACCAGGGCGCCTGCCCCAGGCCCGCCCCGCTCCCCACCCCAAACCTCATCTTCACCGAGGCTTTCCTTCACGCTAGAGCTCGACGTGGATCCTGGAGGGGGACACGACGCCCAGCCTTTGTAAACAGGCTCCCCAAAGCCTGACTTCCCCTCCTGAGCCGGCCAGCCGAGAGAGCCGCTTCCTGGGTGGGTGGACAGCCGGCCCCGCCGTGAGAGCCGCCGAGGACCGGGGCTGGCAGCCCCGCAGCGGGCGAGGCACTGACGCGCAGGCGCGAGCACCCGGAGGGTGGAGGGTGGAGGGCCCCGCCCAGATCCGGCCACGCCCTTCAGGCCACGCCCACCCCGGGCCACGCCCGCCGCCTGCCGCCCGCCTCTGTCCCGCGTCCGCGAGCCCGCGGGTCTGCGCTGCAGCGCTGGCCGGCTCCAGCCCCGCGGCCTGGACACCCGTTCTGCTCGGCCCCCGCCCCGGGGACGCCCGTCTGCCCGTCGGCTTTCCACCGCCTGGCACTGATCCTCCGTGGGGCTGTTTTCGGAACGAGGTCTGCCTGCGGTCCCGCACCCTCCGCCCGGCGGACGGACGGGGCAGGGCAGGGCGGGGCCGCAGGGACCACCGACGCGGGTAGGAGGCCGGAAGAAGTGCGGTGCCCCTGCGCGGGCGCTCGGCCTTGGGAGGGTACCGCACGAGTTCTGTGCGGGCCAGGCGCCGACCCGCGCGGGTGGGGACGCCCGGGCCCGCCGGTCCACCCACCGTCCCACGCCCGCCGCGCTCCCGGCGGCCTGCCGGCTGTCCTGTCCTGTCCTGCGCGCTCCCGGCGGCCTGCCGGCTGTCCTGTCCTGTCCTGCGCGCTCCCGGCGGCCTGCCGGCTGTCCTGTCCTGTCCTGCGCGCTCCCGGCGGCCTGCGGCTGTCCTGTCCTGTCCTGCGCGCTCCCGGCGGCCTGCCGGCTGTCCTGTCCTGCGCGCTCCCGGCGGCCTGCCGGCTGTCCTGTCCTGCGCGCTCCCGCGTCCTTGCTTCCTGTGTGCGCACGTGTGCGGGGACAGCCTTCGAGCAGAAGCCCCCAGCGGGAGGGCAGAGCATGCGTCCAGGAACCTCCCGGGTGTGCTCGGGGCCCTCCTGAGTCTCCATCCCCCTTTCCATGGTTGTGGGCCCACACATTGTTTTGGACTGCAACTGTGCTCTTGTTTTTCTTGTAATTGTACACTTTAAGTTCCCTGAGAGCAGGAACTATGACTTTAATCTATTCCCAGAAATGCGCTAAAATAGGAAGAAAATAAAATAGGAATGAAAGATAAAAGGAGGCAGAGTTCGACAATTCTCATTTTGATTGAATCATTCAAACTTTCTTTTGAGAGTGCAGTTTTGAAATTGATGGCTACAAATTCATTGTAAACGGAGCGTAAGGGATATGAAATTCATTGCTCAGCCTCCTACTCAGGGTCTGCAATGATTAGCTAGTACTGAAATGTATTTTCATTTCATCAAAACAATCCTGTAAATTACCATCTCATTTGCAGACACAAAACTGAGGCACAACAGAATGACTTTCCTAATATAATCCATTTCTGAGTGGTAAACCTAGTATTTGAAACTCTTCTGATATTTAATGAAAACAAAAATTGGCACTACTACAAGTTCCTTTTCAAGAAAAGACCTTCACAAATACCCTTCTTGAAGAGTAACATGTTAAACAAATCTATTAATAATTGAAAAGACTTCAAATAAGCGAAACAAATACACATTATACAGTTCTATCCTTGAATACCCTGAAGAATTGGATTAGAAATGATAAGACATTTTAATCTTTCATGATGTACCTCTTTAAAAAAAATGATAGGCATTTAGCTATTGTATTGACAGGCAGCTATCAAATACCATTTCTATAATTTACTATTCACAGGTCACAGGATATGTTTCACAACAAACAACAAATATAAGCTAAGATCACTGTTCAGAAGGCTTATAAATCTGACTTTTTTTTTTTTTTTTTGCAGAAGTTTTCCAAGTTTTCGGTGGTATCTAATCAGATACCCTAAGTAGCTTTTGGAATGGGATGTTAACAGTACTAACTTGGATATTGTGAGAAAAATATTGACATGGTGTTCAGGCTATAATAAAAATATTTCAATTGGTGGCAAGAAAATGCTTGAGTATGTTGGTGGTAGGACAGAGTCCTTCAAAAAAGACTTTCAATCTTGCCAAGTCTTCAGTTTCTAAAAGAAAACTTTCAAAAGAGATGTGAGTGATGCCAAGATAAAGAGGAAACACAACAAAGAAAGGAGTCAAAAGTAAGATCATAAAGCAACTGAAGAATTAACAGGGTGAGTAAAGGTTAATCAGGAAGGCTAGAAAAGGGAAAAGCTTAACATGAACCTTGTCCCAGGAAAATTATTACAAGACTTAAGAGTATTACACAAAGCTGCTTTTGAAGAAGAGAACTTAAAATAATCTTGATTTAAAAGTGAAGTGTATTGTAAAATATTTATTTAGTAAAAATAATTTTATAATCTATACAGAATTGAGTAAAAAGTACAACAAATTATTTTCACTTTTCTGCAAAATTGCATACAGTACAATCAGCACATTGCATTCAGCATTCTACAAATATGACCACATGCCAAGATGAAACAGATAAAAGTTCAGGCCGGGTGTCACACACTAGGAATTAAATTCCAGGGAAGCAATGCTTTGGTAATGTGAGCTCTTTGATTATACAACAGTTCATTTTTTTAAATCTTAAATAAAATTCTTCAAATACTACTTTCTACTTGTTTCCAAGTAAACAATTGCCTATTAGAGTTAAGGAAATAAATACCAAGAAAATGAAAACAAACGATAAGACTGGAGGTTTGTTACTTCATGATATCACTCCCCTTCGTCTTGCTTACTATTTTTTTCCTGTCCCTTGATTAAAAAGGAAGGTAATGGAAATGATCTATTCCTTCCCTTATTAATTTGCTTCCAGGATGGCTGCTTACCTCTTCTGGTTTTGTTCACATTGCTAGGGACCAAATCCAGGGCCTTGCACAAGTGGGATACAGTCTCCACCATGGAGCCATATCCCAGTCCTGATTTTGCAATCTTGCTACTATTAACACGGTTGTGTCATTCTTTAAAAGTTAACACCCTAGTTAAAAGCACCTTCCTAAATTCTTTTCATAATAAGGCAACAAAATTGGCTTTATTTTTCATGACTCACACAAACTTGATAGAATGATTTCAGAATTGAATGCAGACAGAACACTTGTTTTTTCAAGCATCTTGGGATCACTAGCAAATTTTAATTTAAGCAAATATTCCAGGTATCTATCCTTAGAAATAAAGGCTTATTCAAGGTCCAAACATTCATCCTAGTTCCTGCCCCATTGAAATAAGGGGCTAGGTTTATGATGAAGGCTTTGGAATAGTCCAACTCATACTGACATCTTTATCTTGGGCAAGAAAACTAAAATAACATAAAAGCTATCAATGAGAATGAGGTTATTTTAAAGAAAAAGTCCTTTTCTTTTGAAAATAAAAAGGAATGAAAATACAAAATGGGCTAACTCTCTTCAGCCCAAACAGATTTTTCCCATACAGAATTAACAGTACATCATAATAAAGTATTAAAGACAAGCAAACAAACATTTTCTGATTAGATCTCTTCATTTACATTATTAGGAGGCTTTAAAACTTGCCTTCATTTCTGACTAAATGAGCTTCTCTGGGAAGCATATGAATAATGCAAAAATCTACTTCAAAGGAATGTTTTCACAAATAGATAATGATCAAGACAGGAACCAAGAACATTCATACAATGAATATTTAAAATTAGAAATGACACTTCTTATAGTACAGAACATTAAAACAGAGCAAATATTGCCATTGATAGAACAACTTTCATCTGTTAAAACACAAATGCACAAGAGAAACATAAAATCAGAATGAAATTGAGTAGAGGCAAGTGCTGATAGAACACATTTTTATCATGATTTGTAACATCCTGTGGACTCTCTAAAGCTCTGGTCCCACTGGCCAAAGGTCTAGCTAACTGGATTAGAGTCATGTATGACCTATAAAGCACTATACTTCCCTTGCTAATCAAGTATACAACACCAAGTGCTGCTTGACTTCTGTGGATTACTTGATTTCCAAAATCAAGTTTACTCTTGAATTAGGAAAAAAAGGCATCCTTGGATTGTCTCTCACAAATAATTCATGAAAGAAACTCCACTTCTGGCTCCTCTCAAAAGCATCATGTTACTCCAGGGATAAAGGTGTCAGCTGAGTGGTTGCTTTGAAGCCAGCAATTGCATGTTCATAAATATTGGTCTAAACTTTAAAATATTAAGTATATCCAGGCAGTTCTTGTGCAGAGTTCTTGCAATAAGCAGCCCTTCAACAGTGTGTTATGAAGTAGTTTCTTGAGAACTCGATTCTGGATCTTCCTGCTTTCTGCATTTTTTCACAACACTGACTATACCACTAGCCAGGAAAACCACAGCGATGAGTGCAAAATAACTGGCATAAATCAGGAACTAAAAGAAACAAAGGTAATAATTTGTGGAATTATTAATTAGAGATGAGCTACTTCATTACATATGTGAGAAGACACTAATGAAACTATACTCGGAGTTCGTTCCTCAATAAAACTTTAAAAAGCACTGCATTCTGACACTGTGGCCAGCTTCTGAAGACAGAAGCAATATAGCATGACAGTGCAGAAACCTATTTGGTATGAATCCTGGCTTTACAACTTACTAGCTCTGTGACCTCAACTGAAATACTTAATCTCTGAGCTGTGACTTCTTTAGTGAACGAGATCATGCTTGTCAATGTTTATTAGCACAATGGCAATGTTCTTAATACTACTGTTTTTAATTGTTGGTGTTCATGGCTGTAACTGAGTCATGTAGCCTATTCTTAGGGTAAGACTAACAGGACAACTTCTGAAGATCAACAACTTCTATGGGGAGGAACTGGGTTTGAATTCAGGTCCTCAGTCCAAGTCTAACACACTCTCAGTCCAAGATCAGGAACTTTTATTCCTCCCCAGAAGAGGGCAGTAGAAAGCCAATTATAGTTCTAATTATAGGATTACTTTTATAAAATCTTCCTTAAAACTAATTTTTAACTTGACTAAGTAATTTATCAACATCTTCATCATTTCTTTCTAAAATACAACTTATTAAACACAACTTAGTAAGTACAAAGTTAGTTAACGGTACAGCAAGAGTGTGGCATTAAATCTGAGCCATGTCCTGTCAAATGTGAATACATTTCTTATAGGAAGGCTGCTAATTAATCACAGCAGTTAATATAATCATGGCAGTCTCCACACAGCCTACAAAGTATTATTATTCCACATTTAAATACACCATTTTTACAGGATTGTGTTGTCTCCTCCCTTTACCTATAATAGTCTGGTAGTCTTCCTTTACCAAACAGGAAAGATGACAGGCACTTAGTTTCTCTACTACTCTTCATGTGAAGGTGGGCATTTGAGTTTAGATGTCTAAATCCTTGATCTACCACATTATATTTTTTTTTTTGGGTCTGGTCTTGGGCCTGAACTCTGGGCCTGGGCGCTGTCCCTCAGCTCTTCAGCTCAAGGCTAGCGCTCTACCACTTGAGCCACAGCGCCACTTCCGACTTTTTTTTTCTGCTTATGTGGTGCTGAGGAACCGAGCCCAGGGCCTCAGGCATGCAAGGCAAGCGCTCTACCGCTGAGCCACCTTCCCAGCCCCGATCTACCACATTATTATCATTTGATCTTACACAAGTTACTGCACACCTCTCAGACTAATTCTCTGAAAATTAACAGCAGCACTGAAAATACGCTACTAAGCAACTGTCATATAGAAGGTGCTCAATGAACATTACTTACTAGTCATTTCTTTCAGTAGAAAAGACAAAGCTAATTATTAACATGTTATTTTTTTTTTTTTTTTGTCAGTCCTGGGGTTGAACTCAGGGGCCTGGGCACTGTCCCTGTCTTTGCTCTAGGCTAGCACTCTACCTCTTTGAGCCACAGCACCACTTCTGGTATTCTGGTGGTTAATTGGAGATGAGTCTCATGGGGACTTTCCTGCAGAGGCTAGCATTGAACTGCAATCCTCAGCTCTCAGCCTCCTGAGTAGCTAGGATTACAGGCATGAGCCACCAGAGTTCAGCAACATGTTATATTTTTGTGTCAAAAAAACCTATTTAAATGTGGACTATTAGGTAGTATGTATGGAAGGAATAGTGGAGAGGAATCCATGGACCCCATGGGCTAGGCATGGAGGTAGGCATTTCCTGATTCAATTCCCATCTTACTAAAGTCCACAGCAATACCTGTCTACAAACTCATAATACATGGAGGCATATACAACTATACAATTCCTGAACTAACGTTACATTGTAGGTGGTTGTCCAGGTGTATTGTCAATTGGTCATATGTTAATATCACAATTCTATTTGTCAACTGTAAATCATTACCTTGGTATTTGTCTGAGGGGTGCTTTAAATAAGGAAGGGAGGACACTTAGAGAGCTATGAGGTATCCTGAAGTAGGGCAACTCAAACATGTAATCAAGTTTCAGGGATAGATTAGGAATAAGCTGGGGCTACAGCTCCATGAGAGAGCACTTGACTAACATGCTAGAAGTCCTGGGTTCAATCTTTAGCATGACCTTGGGAGAATGGAGGAAAAGAATGAATGAGGAGTTAGAAGTGTGGAGTCTGGAAGTTGTTAATATTACCTCTCAGCTGAAAGAGTTCCTCTGTGCTAGTCATGTTTAAAATATGTTAAGGTCTAATGTTCGTAGGTCTCATTTTAGAAAAGAATGATAGGCCAGGTGCTGATGGCTCATGCCTGTAATCCTAGCTACTCGGGAGGCTGAGCTCTAAGGATCGTGGTTTAAAGCTAGCCCAGGCTGAAAAGTCCCTTTGAGACCCTTATCTCCAACTAACCACTCAAAAACTAGAAGTAGAGTGTTAGTCTTGAGCAAAAAAGCTCAGGACAATACGAGGACCCTGAGTTCAAGCCCCATGAAAGACAAACCAAGATGATAATCTCAATATCCTCCACATAGACTAGGGAAGTGACTGAAGGAGAGAACATTGTCCTTTCTATCTGTCTACAGTCTTATTTATTTATTTTCCTAAGTTTGGCCCACTTCTGCCACCCTCGCCCCATCAGACTTCTTCAATGCCAAAAGAAAGACGTTACCTGGGTGGTGATTTCTAAGCCAAGGCCACTCGCATCCACCACAATTAGAGTGAGCAGAGTCTGCAATGCCAGGGCAATGAAAGTGTTCACACCAAACACAAGGGCATAGCGCTCCATGCTGAGATTTGCAGCAATCTGAAAACTTTTTTGAAAAGAAAAAAAAAAAGAATAAAGTTGCTCCCTAAATAGTGGTAATTTTTACTGGAAATGTAAAGACTAATTCCTTTGTTGTGTCAATTTCTCTTCTAACCAAATAAAAAAATATTTTGTGTCCAAATGGTTTAATTACGCAAATACACAAATGGTATAAATAGTATAGAAATATGCAAATGGTATAAATATTATAAGGAACATACAAACAAGAGAATAAATCTTGCCTGAATGCTTCCTGAGAAACACTAATCATATATGATACACCGTCTCTTCCTATTGGTCTCTTTTTGTGTAGAAATTTTATCACTTGCAAAGAAATCCAAGGTTTATCTTGCTATAAGCTTCCCTAATGTGTCTGTGGACTAAAATACATACGTGGCTATTGTGATGAGCAACATGTAGATGATTCTGAAGACAACATAGGATGCGTAGCACACCCAGATGTTATGCACAGTGTCCATGGTATACACTGCAGCAGCAATCAAGAGAGAACACAGAGATAATGTCATTTCTCCCCAAGTTGACCAGGATATTTTTATATAACCAACTGCAAACACAGCAATAGCACCTACAAAACAAAACGAGAAGATGTCATTCTTTTTATTAAGAAAAAAAAATAAGCTTCCATTAATTTTTAAAATCTTTAAATTTAAAAGGTACATTATGAAAGGCCCAAAAACTCGAGCAGAGAATTTTGGACTTGATGAATAAGTAATATGGAGCCACTGAGATGATGAGATTGAATTAGGGAAAGTGGCAATCAGATGGCAAAGAACAGAATGGCTAATGAATATTACAAAAAAAAACCACTTCTGCGACTGCCACACAGGCAAGGCAGAATCCCTGCTACTACTCTGGCAACCCACAAGGATGAGTCATCTCTCCTTCAAACCAAGGAGCAATCCAGTATATGCAACAGGACTTCTCTGTCCTTTGGCAAGACCATGAGGATGGTAGCTACAGTGGCAGACACAGTTACTGTTTACAGATCTTACTCGAACCTTCCAATAACTTTATGAGGTAGGGCAATACCTTAGGGACAATAGAGTATGATATCAAGGACACAGGATCTGAAGCCAAACCCTGACTTCATTATTTATCTAAGTTTATGTGACCTTAGGTAAATTATTAACCTACCGTCCTGTTTCCATTGTAAAGCAGTGATAATTTCACTTATCTCAAGAATTTTGTGGAGACCGAATTGAAATACATCGTCCTTAGCACCTAACGTATATTAACATTCAGAAGATATTAGCTACTGTCATATAGAATATTGCTATTTAAAAATTCTTATTAAGTAACAAAAACATTCAGCAAATATAGGAGTATGTGAAAATTTGCTAAGCAAAGAAAATAATTTTGAGAGTATTGTATTGGGTTTCCTGAAAACTTATATAGAATTTAAGTTTGTCAGTCACAGTCTTCTACCCTTATTTCCAAATTCTCTTTCTAAATTATAAAATCAGAACTAAAACATAAATTGTTCTCTAGGGCTACTGGAAATGTGTGAACGAAGAACAAATCTGATCCTAGTTGGCTTAAAAGCCAGGACTCCTTCCAGCCCTCCTTCTACCACCCAGCACAGCTTACCTAGTAAGGTTGAAACGGCTTCTACACCACCATTGTAGATATCAGCATGGCGAGAAGGCATCACCTGCTCCCACAGGCCCTGTGCGTAGTTCACAACTTGAAAGTAGCCACAGGTGGAAAGGGCCCACCACACAGACCAACAGAGCAGAGGGTGTGAGGAGTAACACATCAAGAAATCATTCCATAGAACCTTCAACACCAGGAGACGGTCTGGCCTTGCTTCCTACACAGCGAACAAGAACAGATTATTATTATTATGAAATCAAAATGAAGTAATATAATGCTTCAAATGGGTATACACAATATGTAAATGCTGTTACAATCATCACTAGGAACAAATAATTTAAAAAGTTTTATGCTGGGTGTGGGTGGCTCATGCCTGTAATCCTAGCTACTCAGGAAGCTGAGGTCTGAGGATCATGGTTCAAAGCCAGCCCGAGCAGAAAGTTCGTGAGACCCTTATCTCCAATAAACCACTAGAAAGCTGGAAGTGACGCTGTGGCTTAAGTGGTAGAGTACTAGCCTTGAGCTAAAGAGTGCAGGGACAGCACCCAAGCCCAGAGTTCAAGCCCCACGACAGACAAAAAAAAAAAAAAAAAGTTTTATATCTTTATTATAAGTAGTTATTCAGGAGATTATATTTCCCGCCCCCAAACCAAAGGGATAATTGTAATACTAATAAGGTTATGTGTGTATGAGATATATATATACCATAAATATGCGTATTTACATACCTATGCACACATAAGTATGAACTACATAGTCAGTTTTACAAAGACAAAAGGCAAAAAGATTTGTTAAATAAAAAAGTCTATACACACATCCTGACAGTTCTGTCGAGTTTTTACCTCAGTGAAAGGTTTTGTGGCAAAAAGTATAGAAAGAAGTTTAAGAGTGCTATCTTTGCAATCCTGGTACTCTACCACTTGAGCCTCAGTTCCACTTCTAGCTTTTTACTGGTTAATTGAAGAGTTTCACAAACTTTGCTACACAGGTTGACTTCAAACTACGATCCTCTGATCTCAGCATCCTAGGTAGCTAGGATAACAGGTGTTAGCCACTGGTGCCCAGCTCAAGAGAGTGTTTTGTACACTCTAAGCCACAATTCAGCAGTAAGTAATAACTGATTTTATTGATGGTGACTTAAACTATAAAAAAATAAATAGAATGACCAGGCACAGCAGTGCATGCCTATAATCCTAGCACTTGGGAAGTTGACATAGGATACACTGAGGAATAAAGGAATATATCAGGATAAAATATGTTGTAAAGCTTTTATTTTTATTATATATAACATTTATACATGTGTATGTACTGATAGCTATGTAAATGTCCTTTTTACTATAGTTCTAGTGTACATTCAAAAAAGCTTGAATCTCTCTAAAGACATTCAGATCTATGGTTAATGTTCATATATTTTTATTGTTATTTTTTGCCAGTCCTGGGGCTTGAACTCTGGGCCTGTGCACTGTCTCTGAGCTCCTTTGGCTCAAGGCGGCTAGCACTCTACCACTTGAGCCACAGCACCACTCCCAGCTTTTTCTGTGTAGTTTACTGGAGATAAGAGTCTCAGACTTTACTGCCGGGGCTGGCTTGGAACCAGGATCCTCAGATCTCACCTCTTGAGTAGCCAGGATTACAGGTGTGAGCCACGGGCACCCTGTGTTAATGTTCATATTTAAAACATATTGATATACATATACATGAACTACATACATTTTTACCCAAAGCCACTCTTAACCATGTGAACAGACTAAAAGGTCCTTAGTTTTTCTATTACATACAACAACCAAATGATTATACTCTATTTCTTCCCCCAGCAACCTGTAAATTTCCAGTGTCACCTAACAAACTATGATGTAATCAGCATTTCATTGATACTTAATCCCTGGTACTGTTCACTAAGCGGCCACCTACAGTGTCCTGGTAATCAAAGGTGAGTTTCATGATGAATGACCTGCAGGCTCCATGAGCTGGAATGACTCAGGATCCTTGGGATAATAATCTAAACCCTAATAACCTGAGGTAAAGAATAGGGTAGGCAAGAAATCAATTTCCAGTAAGAGTAAAGCTGGCTTTCAACCCAACTCAACCACTGGGTTGCTTTTTAGAGAGCAAAAACTCTACTCATGTAGCGTTTGTTACGCTCACCCATTTACTTTTTTTTTTGTCGGTCATGGGCTTGAACTCTGGGCTTGGGGGCTATCCCTCAGCTCTTCAGCTCAAGGCGAGCATGCTACCGCTTGAGCCACAGCGCCACTTCAGGTTTTCTAGTGGTTTATTGGAGATAAGAGTCTCACGGACTTTCCTGCCTGGGCTGGCTTTGAACTGTGATCCTCAGATCTCAGTCTCCTGAGTAGCTAGGATTACAGGCATGAGCCACCAGGGCCCGGCTTCCATTTACTAAGTTTTATGTCTGACAGAGCCCACATACAAAGCAGGAAGGTCAATATGCTTATATCCAAACATGTCCCATGAAAACTGTTTCAGTATGGTTGGAATGAACCATTTACCTCAAAGCTTATAACTTAATAGGAAAAAACTTTCATAATTAAAAAAAAAATGGTGAGATTTTAGGAAGCAATCTTCCTGGCTACATAGAATGAATGGATGACTTATAAATGCTATACCTTTCTTCTAAGAGAGAGCTTTAATCGTACTTTTAATCTTTAGTCCTTTATCATCTTAATTTTTCTCTCTTTCTGAAATATTTATTAGAATCATTTTACCTATTCACTTAGCAAACATGTTTTGAGTGCTTTCTATATACACCACGTAATAGGAGTTTAAAAAAAAAAAACACAAAAAAACAAAGGAGTCAGGTGCTGGTGGTACACCTGTAATCCTAGTGACTCAGGAGTCACTAGGATTGCAGTAGGAAGCCAGCCTAGGCAGTAAAGTTCATGAAACTCGTATCTCCAATTAATTAACCAAAAAAGCTGAAAGTAGAGCTGTGGCTCAAGTGGTAGAGTGCCAGCCATGAACAAGAAAGCTCAGGAACAGCACCCAGGTCCTGAGTTCAAGCCCCAGGATTGGCACATAAAAGAAGAGGCATCATCCCTGAAATCTGAGACATGAAGTTTGTGGCCAGTCTGATTTTGGAGGTAAAGCACCCCAGGAGAACCATTAGTAAGCCCCCAAATAATATCTACAAAAACTTAGATAATTGAGCTTACCGGTTCCTCTATGGGAGGCTCCTCCAGATTTAAAGGGATTTTTGACTCAATGTCCTCCCATCCAGGGAGGTGGTTAGAAGCGGGGGTGTCGGTAACAATGCCACCATTTTGTACCTTGATGCCATTCACTCCTTGGCAGGAGGAGGGAACGTGGTGAAAGAACAGGCTCTTCTGTGGCATAGGCAGAAACCAGGCAACAGCAAAAGCCACAGAAACACAAGTGAGAGAGACGACATTCAGGCTGAACAGGGACCAGCCCGCCACCGAGACAAGGACTTGGCCTAGGACAGAGCCCACTGTGAAGCCCACTAAAGTGGCACTTCGACAGTAACTTGTAACTTTCTGATACATGCCCAAGTCTACTACACTGTATATGTAAGAGTAATAAGCAATTTCAGTGGCTGTGCCAATGCCATAGAAGAATTCCAAGAACTGGATAGCCAGAAGTCCCTGGGCATAGAGCAGCATGAACCATGTAACAATAAGGCTCAGTCCTTGCAGCAGAACAACAGGTTTATAACGGAGGTAGTCTGTGGCAAGGAACACAGGGAACAGCAGCACCAGGTAAGAGTAAGTCCATACTGGATAAATTTCATTGAAGACCTGGTAAAAATAGAATAAAAACCTTTTAGTGATCAAAACACCTAAATATTCCTAAAAATCTATTCTTATAAAACACTGCACTTCAAATACCTTATTCTTATCACCTAGAGAATGCTGGCAACACCACCTCAAATAATCTTTTGGAATAGCCTTGCCTATATCTCCACCTCATCACTTCTTCCCAATAAAAGATTCCCTATTAATCAAGGCTTTGTATGTGTCTATGTATGTCTCTAGTTAACTTACGACACTGGGTCATGACATTGGCTGTACATTTTCCAAGATGCTTAAATTTTTTTGGATGATAAGCCACAGATGTTTAAAAACCAAACAAAAATACAACTTCTTAGTAGATTTCAACATGAGCCATGATTCAAAGCCATTGCTTCTTAGGTTCTTTAAAGGTGAACCCCAAATGTACATGTACAATGTGTCTAATAGCCAGTATACTGTTAAGCTACTAGGATCAATAAATGTGTTAGAAATTCCATCACTATCAGTTCCTATTTTGAGAGACAGAACAGGAAGCAACTGTTTGGTTAGCTTTTCTCTGATTTTAAGTTGCATTTATTTTGAGGCAGAGGAACAGGTAGAGAGCAAATCCATCCTGCAGGCCTGACAAAACAACTCTCTCTGAAGAGAATTACAGCTAACATATCTATATCCACATCTGTATATATACACACTACTTAATATACTCACTTGTAATATGATAGAAAGTAGAAGTTTTTGTGTTTTCAGCAAATACACGTATTTATGGGTACAATGTGATATTTCTATACATGTCTACATTGTGTGATGCCTAATCACGTCAAGTATCTATCATTTCTTTGTGATAAGAACATTCAATTATCTTCTGGTTGTTTTTATTTATATGTTACAATAATAATTATAACCTTCCTTCTCTGTAATAGTACATCAGAACTTATTTGCTTTAATGTATAGTTTTAAATCAGAATATAGTAAAAAATACTCTAAGATAAGCTAGAAACTAGAAAGACTCCAGTTGGAATTCAGTTCCACTGCTTTCTGTGTAATTAGAGATGCTCCGTAACTTACAACAGGGTAGGTTCCCAATGAACTCATTGTCAAACTGAACCTAAGTCAAAATTACATTTGCTCAGATATCCTATGGAACATCAGTGCAAACTATGCACTGTAAAGATCTGTCGCTTACACTCATAATTGCATCGCTGATATGTGTGTGTGTGCGTGTGTGTGTGTGTGTGTGTGTGTGTGTGTGTGTGTATGAGTAATACTAGTATTTACAAGTCTGAAAACTAGAGGTCCCAGGCTATAACACCGACCACCCATGGTAATATGAATTAACAATCACACTATCATCCCATTCTTCTGATAAGCAATTACTGTAGATGTTCTTTCCTTCCTTTTATATAGAACCCACTACTTAGCAAGGTACTGAGAGTTTAGTTAAGTTTGAATCAAGGTTAATCATCTCTAAGTCTAGAACTGAGAAGGGTGACACTACAGCCTGGCCTCGATCTCACTACATAAGCCACACTCCATCGTAAGCCACACTCCATCTTCCTGTCTCACTTGTTTCACAAGTCACCTGTTTAATTTTGGTTCAATTTGTGTCTGATCAGGAACTATGCTGCTTCTGAAAACATGCTTGAAGGAATCAAGAAATGATTCTTGCTGAGCGCTAGTGGCTCACGTCTGTAATCCTAGCTATTCTGGAGGCTGAAATATGCCAGCCCGGGCAGGAAAATCCATGAGAACTCTTATCTACAATTAACCACCAGAAAGCTGGAAGTGGCACTGTAGCTCAAGTGGCAGAGCGCTAGCCTTGAGCTGAAGAGCTGAGGGACAGCGCCCAGGCCCAGAGTTCAAGCCCCTCAACTGACAGAAAGAGGGAGAGAGACAGAGAGAGACAGAGAGAGAGAGACAGAAAGAAAGAGACAGAGAGAGGACACAGAGAGAGAGAGAGAGATGATTCTTACTCTGATGTGTGTAAATGTTAACAAATGAGAAGCAAGGAGCATATGGCTGCTAGGTCCACCTGCTAAGATCCCCTCAGTAGAAAAAGCCACAAGCATAATCCTGAGATGAGTTAGCCTTCCTTACAGACTTTTTGACAGGTGTGTTCTGGTTAACAATGCCCTGCTCCTTTTCTAGCAATAAATTTTCAGATACTATTGCTCTCTGGCTCCTCCGACAGCATGATTCTGTACCTTCACTGTTCCCCAGCATAGCTCCACATCTACTAGCCAATAAACCTTTCCTTTAAAAATCTTATCTATCAAAAATGTGATACACCCACACATAATACAGGCACAGACACACACACACACACAGGAATATCATTCAACTCTAAGGAAAAATGAAATCTTCCTGTGTGCAAGAAAATGAATGGAACTGAAAGACACTGCTAAGCAAAATAAGTGAAGACACAAAAATACAAATGCTTAGTCTCTCTTATGTGTTGAAACTATAAAAAATGTACAAATGTAGAGCAGTGATTACTAAAGAGTAGACTTAAATAGAGGGAATAGTTCCAGGGCCCTTGGCACATGGGAATGATTAGTTCACAACAACCTGCAACATATCTTATAAATAGCTAGAAAAGTGGACCTCAAAGGTTTCAAAAATAAATGATAGAGAGAAAAATGCTAATTATTATGATTTGATCAGTGCATACTATATATGTGTGTTGAAATCACAACATAACCAGAAAATACAATTCTTTTACATTAATAAAAAAATTAAATTAAATCAGGTGCCAGTTACTCATGCCTATAAACCTAGCTACTGAGAAGGCTGAGATGTGAAGATCATGGTTTGAAGCCAGCCCAAGTAGAAAAGTCTGTAAGACTCTTACTGCCAATAAATTACTCAGAAAAAGCCAGAAGTGGCACTGTGGCTCACGTGGCTCAGGGAGAGAACCCAGGCCCTCAGTTCAAGCCTTAAGCCTGGCAAAGAAAATAAATTACAATAAGATGTTCTCTATTGTGCTCTTCAATATACAGTCTCCTTTTATTTTAGAATTCTGGTCGATTCTTCACTTATTAGTCTGTGCTTAGACATATTATATAACTTTTGATGGCAGTTATTGAAAGCAGCAGTCCAGAGAACCATGAGGCCCCACAGTCATGTACAGCAAGAGGGAGTCACTTCTCTCGTGGTAGAGTGAGAAATGGCACCTGTCCTTTGTTTAGGGTCAGTTTATAGCCAGGGGACTAGAACCGGGAACTTTTATTAGGAGCAGGAAGTGAAGTGGGAGGAACAGCCCGGGCTAAAGGCCAGATGCCCTTATGCCTGGCCAGATCAACTGGTTTTGCAAGAGGGGCTGAAGACCTGAGATGGGGGGCATGGTAGCATTCTCCCTTCATTTTTTTTTGGTCAGTCGTGGGGCCTGAACTCTGGGCCTGGGTGCTGTCCCTCAGCTCTTCAGCTCAAGGCTAGTGCTCTACCACATGAACCACAGCGCCACTTCTGACGTTTTCTGCTTATGTGGTGCTGTGGGCCTCATGCATGCAAAGCAAGCACTCTACTACTGAGCCACCTTCCCAGCCCCCTTCATTGTTTACTAAGTACAGTACTGGGCTACTTCCTGCTGAGAAGGGACACAGGAGTCAGGGATGCCTGATCTGTTGTTGGAAAGTAGCCTTCTATGATGAAGAGCCTCATCTTTTCCATAGGAATGGTTAGCGGATACCTGAGTAGGCACAGCACAATTAGTAAAAGGCAAAAAGTTGCTGCTAACGGGCCCAGGAGAGGTACAAACCAGGAGTGAAGGATCCCCAGAAGAGGCTGTCAAAGATCTGAGATTCCCAATGGCTTCTTACGCTAGCAGCTGTCTTTTCATAGCTTTTATGCTTTGTTCTACTCTGGCAGACATGTTAACACACACTAGCAACACTCTTTTCCCAAGAAAACGCAGGTTTCCCCTTTTCAGCCATTAACAAATCTAGGGCCTTTGGGTTTGGAAGGTCAAGTCTCTCAAAGAGTTTGAGTCTGCAGCAGGTTAAGAGCCACTGTGGTCTCCTCGGCATGGGCCTGTAGGGCTTCATGTACCTGGTTGTTGGAAGTAATTGACTGATAGATGCCTCCTAACTAGCTGTCAACTTTCATCATATACATTACCTTTGATTATCAATTTTAAAGATCTAGCAGGGTATAACAGAGGCTGAGGCAGAAAGATCACAAGTTAAAGGCCAGCCTGGACAACATAGCAAGATCCCACCTCAAAATACCTTTTTTTATTTTCCCTCAGTCTGGGGCTTGAACTCAGGGCTGGGCACTATCCCTGAGCTTCTCTGCTCAAGACTAGCTCTCTACCACTTGAGTCAGAGCACCACTTCCAACTTTTTCTGTTTATGTAGCACTGAGGAATCAAACCCAGGGCTTCATGCATGCTAGGCAAGCACTCTACCACTAAGCCACATTCCCAGCCACCTTCTACTTATTAATCTAATGCTACTCCTAATACAAAACCAAAACTTAAAAAACTTCAACTTAAAAAGAAAAAAGGCAGAGTGAGATAGGATAAAATGGGGCAGAGAGATCTAATAGGCTCTCCTTAACTCACTCTAAGAGATCTATGTTTTTTCCTGTAAGAGACACCAGGCACAGGTGAGTGAATATACCTCTTCCTCAATTATCAGCACCATAAACTTTTATCATCTCTGTCTTACAATGATGGGAACTTGGCACTAATGAAAGGTGAAGTAAATTATCCAAAGTCATCACAGGGAAGACTGGCAAAGGGAAGGTCTAAGCCAGATATTCTAAATCTACCACACTAAAATGACTGTTTCATCAAAAAGCTGTCATTGATCTAGGACAATTCCAAGTCACTTGTTTCCAAGTTTCAATCTCTATAGAAGTGTTTTTATATGAATTCATCAAGAAACAAAGGTCCAGATAATTTCCATAGCTTAGTCACTGGGTCTCTAAAACCCTTCTTTTTCAATTCTCCCAGGAGGATGTCACAACAACAACAACAAAAAAAACCTTTTTGATACTTTGAATCCTACTTGCAAACTTCCTGGGGTTGGGGGGAGAGGGCGGAATGATGACCCTTATGAATTGTTCATATCTAACTTCTCACCTCCAGTAAAAACAATTGATTTTATTCTAGTTGAAATGTCTTGCAAAACTCTTTGGATCAGTTTGTTTGTGCTTTCTTCTGAGATTCAAAGTCAAGGAAAAACAAATGTTTAGTTTTAAGCTCTCATTCAGATTTAGACTATTTCAAAATAGTTTCAATAGTTCTCATATCCCTCTTAATAAATACCTATTTGCTCAACACTGTTTTCAACTTGTGTAGAGGCAGCAAACGAATAAAATGAAGTCCTAGGGGCTGGGAAGGTGGCTCAGTGGTAGAGCACTTGCCTTGCATGCCTGAGGCCCTGGGTTCGATTCCTCAGCACCACATAAGAGAAAAAAGCCGGAAGTGGTGCTGTGGCTCAAGTAATAGAGTGCTAGCCTTGAGCTGAAGAGCTGAGGGACAGCGCCCAGGCCCAGGCCCCACAACCGGACCCCCCCCCAAAAAAAAATGAAGTCCTAATTCCCCAGGAGTTCTGAACCTGAAAGAGGAACACACACATTCGTGTGCACACACAACATTTATAATGGGAACAGCAAACATGGGTTGTTTCTTTGAGGTGGCCCTTGAAAAGAAAGAAGCTAATAGAATAGTATCAACAGCAGAGATCAACAGCTTCGTGTATAGGTCAACAGATGAGAGTTTGTGGTTATGCTGAACTTAACATTATAAGATTGATATGAATGAAACCTGGATATGTTGAAGGTGAGAAGGGAAAAGAGTCTGTAAAGCTCTTAACATCAAGCAGAATGTACAGTTAAAAAAAAAAAAAAGTAGCCGGGCGCTGGTGGCTCACACCTGTAATCCTAGCTACTCAGGAGGCTGAGATCTGAGGATCGCAGTTCAAAGCCAGCCTGGGCAGGAGAGACTGTGAGACTCCTATCTCCAATAAACCACCAGAAAACCGGAAGTGGTGCTGTAGCTTAATTGGTAGAGTGCTCACCTTGAGCTGAAGAGCTGAGGGACAGCGCCCAGGCCCAGAGTTCAAGCCCCCCGACCGACCAAAAAAAAAAAAAAGTAGTAAATGTCTGCCATGTTAGAGAGAGGAATGATAAAACAACTTCAAAAATAAATAGCTCTGCTGGTTCAGTCACACATACCCCTAATCTGGAGCTACTTGGCGGCTGAGGCAGGGAGAGGATAAGTTCAAGGCCAGCTGAGGCAGGTTAGCAAGACCTCATTTCAAAATAAAGAGGGCTGAGGATGTAACTCAGTAGCGGTTACTTAGCATCATGAGTACCTGGGCTCAAGCCCCAGTATTCTAACTAAGTAATAAATAAGCTTGGTTCTCAATTATCGAGGCATACTCAAATTTTGCCTTGTTTCAAACCTATAAAGTGTTAACCTACAAAGTGATAAACTTTTAAAGTTAGTGCTTTCTCCTACCCTAAAGCGAAGAAAATCCTTCTTGAGTAGAAAGATAGAGGTATTTCTGACTTTTGGATGTAGATGATAACAGACTCATTTAAGATTATTTAATTTGACCCTTCTGAAGTCTTCAGGGAGAAATACAAACTTTAATACAAATGCCACTGAACATACTTGGTATTTTTTTTTTTTTTGCTTAAAAGCAGTGTAATATGTTTTATTGAAGTGATCATTGCTGAAAGCAAGCAGTCAGAAAGAACAAGTTGTTCTATTCATTTCACTTATTAGTTACTAAAAATAAAAATAAAAATAAAATTCTAGAGTTCTCCATAAGGTAAACAGAGCCACACTGTACAACAACAGAACCAGCCATGATTTGAAGGTTCTCAGAAATAAGTGATCCTATTCTCTATCACTAGATTTGACACCAGATTTTGCCTTTTTCCTCTAATTTGCAATGTGGAGGCATGATTATTATTCTTACACAATCAACCAATATTTACTGGGTCTGCCGTGCTTCTGTTTCTGTGTCCCCAAAACATACTTCACTTTCTCTAAACAGAGCATATGATCCTGATAGCACAGCATGCACCTACCTCTACGTAGGTCACAGAACACAACAGATCAACTTTCATATATCAACACTGGAAGCATGGTTCTCCCCCTCTGCTTCTGTGAGTCAGGGTACAGAAACTGTGCAGATTACATGGTAGTGCATATGAAGCTTTTTCAGCAAAATAATGTCTGTGTCAGTGGAATAACCTCATGTTTGGATCACCAGAATAATCACACTTTCTTTTCTTTTTTTGATTGATTGTGGGGCTTGAACTCAGGGCCTGGGCACTGTCCCTCAGCTCTTCAGCTTAAGGCCAGCACTCTACCACTTAAGCCACAGAACCACTTCTGGTTTTCTAGTGGTTTATTGGAGATAAAAGTCTCAAAGACTTTCTTTCCCGGGCTGGCTGTGGACCACAATCCTCAGATCTCAGCCTCCAAAGTAGCTAGGATTAGAGGCGTGAGCCACCAGCACCAGGCCCAGAATCACACTGTCTTATATCAGAAAAATCATTCTGTCCACAAGACTTGGTCCTTTCTACTTCATTGCTGGTTTTAACCAGTATCAACATTCAAACAATACTATGACAGTTCTTTGTGTGCTGATCTATAAGATTGAGAAACAAATGATCTAAGGTTAGATAAAACCTGAACTTGCTAGTGACTAAACACTCACTCAAATGAATCTAGAAACACTGTCAGTTTCCTCCCAGATGCCCTTGAAAATAAAGGTCCACAGCAACACCAAACTGGATTATGAGTAATTAGAACCTGCCAGTCTGCAAATGACTCTGCTAACGCCATCTCTTGCTCTGACCTGTTATACTGCTTATTGGATTTCTAATACAATAGGCGAATGATTACTAAACACATTTAGAAGAGTGAGTTTCAAAAGGGAGAAGTATTTTACAGCAACTGGGACAGGGAAACCCCAGTGGAAAAAGAGGCATAGGGGAGAAAGGAACGGCTAGTGTCCACCTGGCTGATAGAACGGAAAAGAACACCAACCCTTATCTTTCACACTTCATAGTAGTCAAGGATTGAATCTGTTTTACTTTGGTTTTGCGGTAGCACTCTGGGTTTAACTTCCTTTTCAGTTTATATAACATCTTTCTTCTGCAAAAGTGTTGAGGTTGAGTATAGATGTTTAAGTGCATTTCTAAAGTACATTATGCACTTAAGTACAATCTGTCTAAGTCCTTACCTTGAATAAATCAATCAGTGAGAGGTTCTGGATCATGGACTATGTATTTTCAATTACCCTGAACAACAAACAGGTACAGAGACCTGACACACTTCACCTGTAGTCGAAAAGCAAAACTAGTATCTGTGAAGCGACAATACAAGGAAAAACTATAATTAAGTGCCAATTACCAGAAACCATCTGCTTGTATCCCAAGAGATGGGGACGGGGTGGCAGGATATCTTTGGATACAACCTCACCTAATTAAAAAAAATCAAACCAGTGCTGGGAAGGTGGCTCAATGGTAGAGTGCTAATAACCTAGCATGCATGAGGCCCTGGGTTCGATTCTTCAGTACCACAGACAGAAAAAAGCCAGAAGTGGCGCTGTGGCTCAAATGGTAGAGCGCTAGGATTGAACAAAAGCAGCTCAGGGACGGTGCCCAGGCCCTGAGTTCAAGCCCCAGGACTGGCCAAAAAAAAAAAAAAAAGGAAACCCAAATTAAGATGATGAATTCTCTGTCCTGCATTGTCCTTACTTGACTGAGCACACAGATTGGGGGACGGGAAACACGGCGGGGGGGGGGGGGGGGGAAGCAGCAGGCGGAAGGAAGCCTTCTCAGAAACGTCAGGACGACTTTCTTTCAGGTCGACACCCCGTGCCCAGGGCCGCCTGCCGGTTCATCAACACGGGGGAGGGGCCCTCCCCTCCCCCCGGAAGGAACGGCCGGGCCGCACACGGGGGATCCGAACCCGCGTCCGCGGCCCCGGCACACAGGACTTGCAAACCCGGAGGGCGGGCGCCCAGGGGGAGCTCGGGGGGGAGCTCGGTGGGAGCTCCGCGCAGCCTGCCCCCGGCCCGGCCTGGCCCCGCCCCGGCCCCGCCCCCATCCCGCCCCGGCCACGCCCCCATCCCGCCCCGGCCACGCCCCCGCCCCACCCCCGCCCGGCCTACCTCCCTCTCCGTCAGGTTCTTGTCCTTGCCCAGCAGGTACGGGGTGAGGAAAGGCTCGGACGGCCGCAGGCTGGCGAAGAAGCCGTAGGCGCAGAGCAGCGCGGTGGGCAGGAACCAGCACTCGCGGGGCACCCGGGCGGTGCGCAGGAGCACGGTGGCCGCCGCCGCCGCCGCCCTGCGGGACACCGGGCCCGGCGCATCCATGCGGGGCGCCCGCGGCGGGGACCCGGCCCGGCTCCCTTCCTTCGGCTCCACCAACGGGAGGGGAGCTCGGGCGCCCGGCCCCACGTCCGCACCGGTAACCTTGACGGACGCTTCCTCTCGGCGGCGCCGGGCCAGGTCCGGGGCTCGCCGCCGCCAACGCCGCCGCCGCCGCCGCCTCGGCGCCGCAGGCAGGACTGAGTCCTTCGCCCGGGCCGGCGCCTCACGTGTCCCCGCCTGAAACGAGCCCCGCCCTCAAGCCCGCCCCCCCAGGCCGTGAGCCAATCACCGCAGACGCAAGGTGTCTGGCTTCTTCCTCATTGGCCGGTAGCTCCCACCCCGTGAAGGGCGGCCGTGGCGGTACCCCGGTCGGCTGAGGTGCGGACCGCTGGGAGGGGAGCCGGCTGGCTGAGCCCTCCGGTTCGGCGGCGGTGGCCGCTCGCTGTGGAGTCTGGAGGAGCCCGCCCTTCCATGCCTCGGGTCGGCTCCAGGCACCGGTCAGGCCGCCTTCTCCTTCAGCCTCGGGTCCCTGGCCGGCCGAGCGGCCCTGAGGAGCCGCGGGTTGACCTCGGAGCGGGACCGGGCGGCCCGGCCGTGCCCGCGGCGCCCGCGTGTGCCGCCGGGTTCGCTGCCCGGTGGTCTCGCCCGCGTGCCCGCCCGCGTTGGCGCTTCTGTGCGTGAGGAGCCGTCCAGCTCCGGTGCGGCCCCGTGGGAGGGAACGGAGACGTGGACGCGGCGGCGCCGAGGGCCATGCCCGGGTGTCTCCTGCGCAGTCTCCTCGGGGAGGCCCCGGGAGGCCCCGCGCGGCCTAGGGCCTTTGAGTTCCGTGTGACCGCGGGTCTGCGCGCCCGGGAACACCGGGAAATACTCGGATCAGAAAAGCTGGCGCTCTCCCCGAGCGCCTGCCGTTTCCTTACTCCAGATCCTTGCCCAGCTTCCTCGCACACTAGCTCGTTTACTGCCCGCTGACCCATGCTTACCCTTCCCTTCCCCCACACCAAAACCTTCCATCATCTGCAACTCTAGTCCATACACTCTAGACCAGGTGTGCCACGATTGTGCTGGCTTCCTAAAACCCGAGCTCAGGGTTGTGGTATAACTTCTTGGATATCTGTGTGAGGATCAGAGTTGAGCAGGGACTGGACAAAAGCCTGCTGAAGGACGTGTTGTGTTAGATTGCACGCCTGCTTTTTGGGGGAAATGCTCTTACTGCCTTTAAGCTCCTTAGTTTTGCACTCCAAACTCTAGGTAAGGCTTTTCTGGGCCACGCTACTATGACACAGGTGACTCCTGTGTGCTACCAGAAAGAACCAACAGTTTACCAAGCCACCTGAAAGCACATTTTTTATAAAGATTCTATTAGCTGGGTGCAGGTGGCTCATGACTATAATCCTAGCTCCTCAGGAGACTGAGATCTGAGGATTGGGGTTCAAAGCAGCCCAGGCAAGAAAGTCCATGAAACTCTTGTCTCCAATTAACCATCAAAAAGCCAAAAGTAAAGGGGTAGCTCAAGTGGTAGAATGCTAGCCTTGAGCAAAAAAAACAAACTAAGGGACAGTGCCCAGGCTTTGACTTCAAGCCTCAGTGCCAGCACACACACACACACACACACACACACACACACACACACACACACACTAACCAAATTATTATTATTTTGTTTTTCACTGGGGAGGTTTCTAGAGAGTGAATGACTATATGCTGACCTATTTAACTCTACTTCCCGGAGCTGCATTCCTTAGTCTCTGCAGATCCTTCATCCCAAAGCTGCAGCATTGGGACCTTGTATGGCCCTGAAGCTTCTTGCTGTAAATATTGCTACAGAGGCAGTAGTCATGAGCAGTAGTCATGAGCTTGTCACCATCTGAGTAGGCACCAGCTGCTTCTGAGAAAATAGGTGCCTTCCAGGAGTCTGTGGAATCTAATCCTGCAGCCGCAGCTGAGGGAGGGCAGCAGAACTTCAGTCCATTGGCAGCTGCACTTGACAATTCCCAGGCTGTTGATTGCCAGTTCTGCTGCTGTCCTTGGGATAGTGAGCAATGACAATGGCTCTCTTTCTTGCTCTTCTGCTGCTCACTTCATAGTTACTATTAGCATAATGCCAAGGGCCTTCCTGGCCTGACCCTGTCAAAATGCCACACAGAAGATGCAGGAGGATAAAAGCATCCTGCTGTGTTGTAGTTGCATAAAAATTAGGCAGTGAATTTTCCACTTCTTATGTGATATTTCAGATCACAGCCTGGGTATGTGCTTTGTAGTACTGCACCCAGAGAGAGTTGTTGAGAGTTTATCTGTTGACATATTCAGAGAGGAGCATTCAGCTGTGACTGTCAGCTTTCTGGGTACCAGAACAAAGTTTGCTCATTGGTGTAGTCGAGAGCTGCAGCCTGGGATTACTGGTAGTTTTAAAGTAGATGGGCTTGGACTAGACTATCCTGTATTTTTCTTCAAGTCAAAGTCTGGCTCTGATATTTTGGAATTTTTGGCCATTTCTCTGGTTGTAAAATCCGATCAAGAATTCTATGTACATTCTTGTAAGCTCATGAAGTCCTTGTAGGTATTCCTCAGCAAACTGTTCATGTTTTGTTTTTCTTCTTTTACTTGTTCCATTAGCATTGTTATGATTATCCTCTTCACTTCCAAAAGACATGTAAGATCTTTAATCCAGGGACTTTACAAATGACAAAACTATTTTCATAATCACACTAAGGTTTTATTTCCTTTTACTGTCCAGACGCTACATGGTGTAAACCTGGAGGGTTTAGTTTATCATACAGTGATAGCCATGGTTTCAACCCACAAAAACTGAAGGTCGTTAAGGTTCTTAATAACAAGAAGTCTAAGAACTTTGGATCTAAGTAATACAATTATCTAGTCCTCTAGACTTCCACCATTGTTTTGGTTTCTTTCTTTTTTTTTTTTTTTTTTTGTCGGTTGTGGGGCTTGAACTCTGGGTCTGGGTGCTGTCCCTCACCTCTTCCACTCAGGGCTATCACTCTACCACTTGAGCCACAGCACCACTTCCAGCTTTTTCTGTTTATGTGATGCTGAGGAATCGAACCTAGGGCCTCATGCACACAAGGCAAGCACTTTACCACTGAGCCACCTTCCTAGCCTGATTTTGGTTTCTTATCTTGACTATGGAGAGAATGCAGTGGTCCTCTTGGCAATTATTTTGCAGTGCCTTAGTAGTAGAGAAGAAAACTTAAAGCCCAGAGACAACTCAAAACCAGGTGTCTCCTATTAAGAGCAGCTTTTTATACTTTCCCTAAGGCTTCAGCACCTGAACTATATTAATCTGTTAATCACTGCTTTGAAACTTTTCCTAGGCACTTCAAATCCTCTTTCCAATGAGGCAGAATATAGACAAATAGTTTTTCTTTAACTGGGTAAAAAGGTTTTTATTGTTTTTCTCTAAGAGTTTATAAAAGACAGGATTATAAAAATGGCCCAAAATGACCCTTGCCTCAAATGATCTCTATCCATTTGAGTGTGAGATGAAACCTGTGACTTTAATTAGGTAATACTCCCATTTTATGGCAAAGGTGAGACTATTCATCTGGGGCCAACCTAATTGCACAGGCCCGTTGTAAACAGAATTTTCTCGTGCTAGTCGCAGAAAAGGAAGTCCGAGTTGAAGGATGAGCGGATTTGATGTTCTTCTGTTTGGGGGGGACTATGAACCAAGGAATGTGGGAAGCCCACAGCAACTGAGACTGGCTCCTGGCTGATGGCCAGCAAGGAAGCAGGGGTCCCAGTCATAGAATGACAGGAAATGAATGCTGCCGAAAGGAATCTCAGAAGATCTTGAAGTGAATCATTTCTTAGAGACACCAGAGAAGAGCCCAGCCTGGTGAACCATCTTAGCTTTGGCCTGTAAAACACTAAACAGAACCTACCCAAGCCCACCAGGACTTCTACAGAACTGTAAGTTAAACTGTTGTCACTTTTTTCCAACACTAAATTCTTGTGATTTGTTGTGTAGCTTACTGTATCAATAGGACACAAAGTAAATGGAATATATTTTTAAAAATTGAGATTATATTCATGTCACACAAAATGAGCTGTTAACTATATTGAAGTGTTGCTTAGTAGCATTAGTGCTTTCATAAACATTACTTCTGTCTAGTTGTAAGACATTTTCATAAGCCTAGAATGAAAACACCCTTGAAGCTGTTAGTCCCTGGTCTCTTCTACCCTTACTCCTGGCCAATACTAAGGTGATTTTTATCTTTATGGATTTACCTATTCTGAAAATTGTCTACATATAACACCTTTCTTGCCTGGATTTCACTAAGCATAGCATTTGTACAGTTCACACACTGGGCAGCACATACCAGTACTTCATTCCCTTTGGTAGCCATTTTGTTTTTATATTCATCTGTGCGTGAACACTTGAGTTGTGTTTTGCATCTTAGCTATTGTGAATAGTGTTCTTAGGGATATTAGTGTGCAGATATTAGTCCGTACCTGCTCAGAACCCAAACTTTGCATTGTCTCCTTTCCAGAAGAGGTGGCTTTGAATGCCTGTTTTGAATTTTTTGAGAGTATATTCTTAGAAGGACTGCTATATCAATGTGCTGTTTCTAAGGTTAACTGTTTGAGAGAGTACTAGTGTTTTCCATACAGGCTGTACCATTTTACTTTCTACAAGCAATGTATAAAGTTTCCAGTTTTCCCACATCCTTGTCAGTGTCTATTTTTGTTTAAAAATAGCTGTCCTAGTGGATTCAAATTTGTATTGCATGCTTTTGATTTGAATTTTTGTAATGACTAATGATATTCATGTATTTATCCATTATTTATAGATCTTATTTGGAGAAGTGAATTTTCAAGTCCTTTGCCTACTATTGAATTTGGGTTTTTGGTCACTCACTGGGTTATAAAAGTTTTTTATGTATTCTGAATACTTTGTGTTCCCATTATGTAGAAGCAATAGAATGTTGTGAGACTTTATTACATATGTAGAGTTGTATGTTTTGCAAAAAGTAAGACTGTGTTAT